TAAAAAAAAAAAAAAAAAAAAGAATTCCCAGTTCTATAGTAGAGCTGACAAGGGACAAGGTTATAGTCACTTCTTGACCACAGCCAGCTACCCAGAGGAAGCAAGTAGTTGAACCTGTGGACTCGGGACCATAGTCACAGGGGACATCAAGCTCAATTGCCATAACATACTACACAAAATATTCTACCTCCTACTTTGGCGAGTAGCGACTGGGATCTTAAAAGCTTGCAAGCTGCCGTCTAGATGCAACAATGGGTCTCTCATTGTCCAGAGCAAAGAAGAATGAAGAAAACCAAAGATTCATGGAAATAATTAGTCCAGGTGACTGATACACCATGCGATCCTCAGCCTATGTGACTATGAGACCAGAAGAACTAGATGGTGCCCAGCTTCCACTGTCAAACACTCGAAGAGGGATCTACATAGGAGATCCTGGATAGAGAGGGAGAACAATGTGAAATAAAACTTAACATCATTTGGGAAAAAAAATGGGACCAGGTTTGCTGGTCTGATAGAGCCTGGTGGAACCACTGAGACAATGGCCCCTAGCTGCCCTTCAGGTCTGGAACTGAACCCACTCCTGTGGTTCCCAGCCAAACAAAAGACAGACATATGGGTTGAACATTTACCCAAGGTAGATACACTCCTTGGAGAGAACAATCTTGAGAGAAAGAAAGGCTGTTTATGCATAGGAGACAGCTCAGGGCAGGAGTGCATGGAGGGAAGGACACAGGGAAGAGGAGACTATGGGGAGGAAGTGGGAGGGGACCTGTTGCACTGCAGGAAATTGCAGTCAGTGTCATGAGACAAAGTGTATGTGAGCTGCTGTATGGGAAATGAATTTGCTTTCACCCAAATCACAATAAAAATTTTAAAATAAATAAATAAAAAGAAGTGTCCCAGTTCTTTCTATAATTCAGAATATAGATGCTCCAGAGCTTTTTGTGCATTAATTCAGAGTATTTTGAAGAAAAACTATACACACATTGCAATTTAACCTCTGTGTACTTGTACAGTTTCATGAGTTTTGAGTGCCTGAAAATTTTCTAATGTTTGTTAGATGAGGTGAGGCATAGGTAGACTAAGGACATGAAAAGATTTAAAAAAAAAAAAAAAGGTCTTAGTGGTGTTAAAGTCAATTCCTTCTATGATTGAGTCTATAAATTCATTCATAGATTAGGCCTTTTCCTCTGAACTTTAAAAAATTTAGCCAATTAATGGTAATTACCTCTCTCATAGCACTGAACTGGAAAATAATTACCCAAGATGCATGAATTGTTCCATATTGTTGGATCATAGCTTATAGCTTACAGCTTGTGAGGGCCCAGCTAATCTCACCCCTCAATACCTTTTGGGTCATTGCTGAATTTCTAATGTTCCTTTAACCAACTGTACGCTAGAACTGGAACAGTGGGTTGTGGAGGACTTCAAGGTTTAAGTAACCCCTGACCCATGCACGTATTATGAAAAGGGTGATAGCTGGTCTGTTTCCAAGTAGCATTTAAAATTTCCTTTGGGTGCCTTTCTTATCCAGGAAGGGCCTGATGCTGCTGATATTTTTCGTTCCTGGGGGGGGTGGGGACACTCACACTAGTTATCTTCTGTGATTTCTCCCAGGAAACACAGCAAGATTCATTCCATCAGAAGCCTTGCCTCGCAGCCTACAGAACTGAACTCAGAAGTGCCAAAACAAGTCAGTAATGGTGATGTACTGCTATAACTCTGTCTTTCACAAAATTTCCTCTCCTGAGTATGGTGCTTCGTAGTTGCTTTCCAGTTCTTGGTACTTTACTACTGGGGATATTTTCAGATGAGGGTCCAGTTGTATGCCCTGACTTTGACTGGATGTAGGTTTTATGCTCTGTGCCCACCAGCCTAGGCTCAGCAGGTCCTGGAGTGTGTCCAGTTCTGCAGCTGACTTCTAACTGCAGTTCACTTGAGTGGGCTCTAAGCCACAGAGAAGTTTGCTCCAAGGGCCTGAACTCAGCTTAAGAGGGGAACCACTGATGGGAGCCAGCCCACTATCCAGCTTATTGGATATGCTTGTGTATAGAGATCGGGACCTGCTTTACAGCAGATGGGTGTAGCTCTAAGTTGGTGCCAGGGTCAGAACCCGTAGTTGGCATGGAATTGGGCAGTGAGTTCCCAGGGTTTGTGTTACAGGGTAGTGACCATAATTGGCAACAAGAGGCATTATCACTCTTGTTCCAAGGGTAGCAAGAGCTTATTTTCCCTAGAGTTGGTTTCTGGGTGAGTTTTCAGGGTTTTCTCTAAGAGTGAATAAGAACTTTGCTAGGGAAGGACATGGAAGAGATTTCATTGTGTTGGGGCGGGGGTAGTCCTTAACCTGTCTATTTTACTCTTAGAAGTAAAGAAGTTTTGTGTCTTTCCTCTGAAACTTATATCAACTTGTCCTTAGAGTTCCATGATTTTTTTCCTCCTCTCACTGACCACACTTGCTTTCAAAGCCCTCTTTGGACTAGAAGGGCTCTCTTGTTCCACAGAAGCTTGTGAAACCCACTATGAAATTGTGGATCTGAAAAAAGCAGAGACTGTGCTAATCCGTGCTGCTGGGAACCTGGCATGGTCAGCTTCTACACTGTGGGAGAACTTTCTGGATAATGACCACATGCACTTTGATGAGCCCACATTTATTGCAGAGCAGCCTGTGGAAAGCAGGCTGTACTTGGCAGTCCTGTCAGCTACTGCAAGCTTAAGGAGATGTTATTGTGTTAGATTCTGACTTCTGACTTCTCTTCCACCTATTCCCCTCCCCCCACAACACCGCACAGTTCTCATATAACAGTGTGTCTTTTCTTTTCACCTCCCTTCATCCTTTTCTTTCCCCTACCCCACCCAGTCTCCACAGCGCACCAGCCTTACATATGGAGAAGGTGCTGAATTGCCAGGTGGCCAGAGCTGCCAGCAAGGAAAGGAACTGAAAGTTTCCACCGAAGAGCCTGGGCCACAACAAAGTCCTTCTCTGAAGAGTCCACTGGGTAACAAGAAAGCAGATGGAGCCGTCATGGTGACGATGGAGGAAGAGGAGGAGGTCGTTAAGGATAGGACCCAGCAGAGTAAACCTCAACCTCAGCAGCCAAGCACAGGTCCAGCATCCAGGGCTGCTAGAGGCAGCAGCACTTCCATTCCTTTCATTGACTGCAGTGATGTAGATAGTGAATATGATCTTCTCAGAGAACAAGTGTCCCAGTCACGGTCCCAAACAAATGACAATTATGAGGGTGATTTGACCAGTGGTGTTTATCTGCTCTCCAGGGATGAGAGGCAAATAGAGGCTAGGCATAGGGCTTCCCTTCATTCTGTGAAATCCTCCCAGCCTCCCTCCAGAGAATTCATAGATGATGATTCAGCAGACATAACCTTTGATATCAGTGGGAGCCCCAGACTCCCAAGGCATAGCTCTCTGATAGATGAAATGTTTAGGGGCTCAGGTGGTCACAGCCCCCTGGCCACCCCATTGTCTCCCAGCAGCAGAAGTTCAAGTCCAAATATGAGTTGGGACAGGACAGGGTCTCAAGGGTATGTCTCTGAAAATGGACATGACTGTAGAGAGAAAAGTGTGGGAGAAGATACACTTCCAAACCAGGGTCTTCATGATGTGAACTGCTCCCCCGTCTTGCAAAGACCATACTTACGGAATCTTCCTAGTAGATATAATAAGTCAGAGACAAATCCACTCATCCTCAGTCAGGTCACATCAATCCCAGAGGAAATAGATAAGCTGGATGGCCATGAAAAGGGAGGATGGGCCAACATGGCTGCTTCAGGAGGTAGACTGCTGGCTAATGGCTCCCCTCTTACGGGCTCAACCACTAAGATCCCCATCATGCAGCCATTGTGTGCCAGCAGCATGGAGGACCAACTGGCTCCCCTACAAATGACCGAGGGCTCCACCAGCAGTGGGACTGAATCCAGTGATTCAGACCCTGAACTGGTGAATTCTTCAAGCCAGCCTCTGATGTTTGGTAATCCAGCAGTGCTGAGTTCCCCTTCCATGCCTCGAAGTAAGAAGCCCTTGGCCGGCCTGAGGGAGGAGAGGGAGGAGGATGAGTGAAGAGGCTAGAAGGCAAGTCTTCAGCTGTTGGTTGATGAGTCCCGGGTTTCAATGGAGATGATCTGTTCTCACAGCTCATTAATTTTTAATCAATAATTCTTAGAGGATGTTTTGGACAGGTACATGTTTGGATGGGGTATGCCTACCTTCTAAACTCTTTAAGAAAAGCAAAGCTTGACATGGTGGCTTGTTCTCAAAAAAGAAAAAGTGGACAAGATAAATAGCAAGTCATAATGACAAGTTACCAGGAGCTTATGTGTCTTACTGGTTGAAGGCTAGGAAGAAACAGTTTATTATGAGCCTGATCATATGTATAGTGTGTTATATTTATGTGGAAATTTTCTGTATATGTTCAGTTGTGTATGCAGATCACCCTTTTACTGTTTGAGTGAAGTATCATTGAGATCACAGGAAAGGTGTGGATTTTAATTCTTTCTCTCTTTTTTAAAAGGAAGACTTTGTCTCTGTGCCTCATAAAGTGAGGAATTGATCAATCTCAAGGCACAATTGCTAGTTGTAAGTTTATTGCTAGGTGAGAACAAGTGTTGGTGAGATCTTAGTCAAGAATAATGAATGTTTTAATGGGAAGAATTGGGGGTTATTTCTTCTTTCCAGACTTCATCTGAGATCCTATAGAGGTTGTCAAGCCTTCCTGAACTATAATTTAAATGGGATTGCTTATTTGGTTTGGGTTTGCATTGGTGAATCAAATTGTTAGTTATGTTTTAAGAAGTCCTGACTCTGGCTCTCAGAATCTCTTGGTGAAACACAAGTGGTGCTGAGTGACAAGGAAGGGAAAAGTCATACCATGCAGCAGGCACTGTTGCCACCAGGAGGTTAGCAAAGTAAGTGCCTGGCTTTGAATCATACCTAACGTTAGAGAAGATTGATTCCCAGTATCATTGCCCTTGGACGCTTCAGATACATGTTTTAACCATTCACACTCTTGGGAACAGTGACTTCTGGATGTTTCTCTAAGCAGTATAATTAGTAATAGGTTTGACTTCTTTTAAAATCTTGCCCACCATGGCAGTGCCTTTGATGCAGCATTCCTGTATTTTAAAGAGCCTGGTTTTCACTGGCAGTGTTTCACAACTTTAACTGCATCTGGACTCACCTGGGACATTTTAAAAAATTATGCTGGGGCTCTGACCCCAGAAATTTTGATGGAATTGATTCTACTGGGCAAACAGAGTCACTTCTCTGCCAGACCTAACTGCCTTGTAGAAGCTGTTGGAAGTGTTAGCTAAATGTGTGGTTTGCTTGCAGAGCACAGAAAATGATGACAAATGAAATGCTTTCCTCACTGCTTTGTTGTTTACTACTTTGAAATCTTTGGTACTTTTCATTTTCAGAGACATTGTATAGTAAAATTTGTAGATACTAAGTAACTACAAAATTATTGACAAGAATTGTGACTATGGTACATCCTTGATGTGCTGCCATGCCAATGGCCTTACTAGACTCATCATATGACTTTATCATGGGGGAAGAGCCAAGCATGTTTAGGGAACTGAGTGGAATTTGGCAGCAGCTCATAAGAAGTAGAAGTATTGACTGACCTTGTGATTCACAAATGATTATCTGTCCATATGAACATCGATTAGTCTGTTTTAAAGATTCAGATCTTTTTCATAAGAACTTTTTTTTTATTTCACTCTCCTAATCATTTGATTCAGTGCATGATTGATGAATCAAACTGATTATTGAATAGTTAGAAAGGTGTTCATTGAAGTAGTCTATTTGTTTTTTGCTGTAGGTTTATATATTTAACATAATCATAGAACTTTAAAATTTAGGGGCCCTTAGAGATCGTCTAGGGCAAACCTTCATTGTATGGGTCAGAAGACTTGGTCTGACAGCCATACTGCTACTGCATGACAAAGCTGGGACCGAACCTTGTCTCCAGCTTTTTACACTGTGTGACGTCTTGGAGCAATAGGACTTTTTTAGTCAATATTCTAATTTTGGAGAGTCTCGTGGATTAATAATAATCAGATTTGGAGACCAAGGATCATGTAGACTTTACTTAGGTAATCACAGATCCATAATAGGTGGTTTGAACCACAGCTTTTTGTATTGTGAGATTTTTGCAATTATAACAAGTTTTTGCATATTCTGGGACATCAATGTGAATTTGCTATAGAAAAATTTAGTCAAATGTGAGTTAAGCAGAGTCAGGTTTGGAATCCTGTGGTTTATTTGTGTAGGTAGTTTGTTCCAATGAGTTTTCTTTTTCTCTAATTATACAGCAGTCTGATAATGAAATATAAATGAACAACAGGTATTAATCTGCACAGCATATATTGCAAATTATCCATTGTAAACCACTGAGGCAAAACATACTGGAAAAATGATTTTGCTTTTCTTTTTCCTGAAGAAGTGATTTTATATGAAGTGTTTTAAAAGAGTTGATTAATGGAGGGAACTTATTTCTATATTTATAAGCTGACCTACTGTTACTGTTGCTCATGGGGTCTTCTCACTGCTTTGTACAAATCAAGCAACTCAATCTCTGCTTCTTGGGCATTATTTATGAAAGCAACAATCCTAATGTAATTAAAAAAAAAAATCTCACAGCCATCGAGTCAATTTTGACTTATAGCAACTCCCTTTGGGTTTGGAAGGCAGTAAATCTTTATGGAAATAAGTTGCCTGGTCTTCTTTCCATGGAGTGGCTGGTGGGTTTGAACCACCAACCTTCTGGTTAGCTTTAGTGGTGCTTAAAATAGAAAAGGTATAGTTTGTTTTTGGGTCACTGGGTGGTGCAAACAATTAACACACAAAGTTTGGAGTTTCAGGTCCACCTGAGGCACCTTGGAAGAAAGGCCTGGCTATCTTCTTCCAAAAAATCAGCCCTTGAAAACTATATAAAGCAGACTCCTACTCTGACACACATGGGGTAGACATTAGTTGGAATTGATTCGACAGCTATGGTAACCCGTAAACTTTATTCAAAAGCCACATGTCCTGATGTGCAGAGAATATTTACTAATTGACTCTAGAGGAGCTTGCACTGTATTAATAAGGACCCCAGAACATTGGTCAGAGAGTAAAAAATTAAGCAGGCTTGTAAATTTTGGTCAATGACATGAGACAAAGT